GGAAAGAGGTAACATGGATAAAAAGTTTCCACATGGTTTGTGTAGAAATTTGGCATGCCGTGTGACCAAAAAAGTGTTATAGAATTTCAAAAACTAAAGAAGAGACACGAATAGTAGGCTTTCACATGGTTTGTGCAGCAATTTGGCACTACCATGTGACTTAAATAGGGCATTTCGAGTTTCAAAGAAAAAAGACGCGAGTGCGAATGTTTTTATATGATTTGAAGAAGGAACTCCATACGATCATGTGCAATATAAAAGGTTACACTAGTTAGGAAGAGGAAAAGGCATGTGGGTATAAAGGAAAAGACATGGTTTACATATGAAATCCTCATAGGTGTATGTCTCTCTCTAGCCCAAAGGTCACACGATTTGACTTCCCAAATCCTACCCTTATATAAAACCAAACCCTAACCGTGTCACTTCATATTCTCTAATTTTCTAATTGATATCGCTAAACCTCTTTTCCATCTCTTCATCTTCAAATCTCCATCATGCTCACACATATAACCAATTACCATACCATCCCACCTCCATGAATCAACACTATCTTTCTATTATAAACCATCAAAGAACCTTACCTTTATCGTTTACTCCCAATCGAAGAACCCTCATCTTTCTCCACTCAAGCTCGCTAAAGATAATAATGTCAACTTCAAGAGATAAAAGGAAGTAAGTGGCACTATCGGAAAAGGAAACCCATCGGAAAATGATGGCTCCACGGGAAGACTACCCACTCGATCTTATTATAGAATTGTATTTGCTGATGATGATCATGAATTCCATTATAATATCTAGAAGAATAAAAGAATAGTGTCAAATAGTATGTTGATCTTTAAGCACTAGAAATATTAGGATTGTTAAGTAAGAGAAATGTTGGATAGTATAGGGTGGGTAAGTTTGTTAAAAATGGATGCACCTTCTTATAAGGAATTGACTTTGGAGTTTTTAAGTTCATTTTAACAAGAAATGTTAATGGATAACCAATAAGAGATGTCATCTTAATGTGGAGGCAATAATGAACATGTTTGGTTGTCTATATGAAGGTGTAAGATAACCACTTGTTGAGTTTGAGAAGCTCTTTTAGAGGAAAATTACGGGTTTATAAAAAAAGGTGTATAATCCCTTATAATTGAAAGCCTCGATAATCATAAGCCTAGTATTTTGATACATACATCGTATCTCGAATTAGACATTATATAGACAGAAAACTTATAATAGTGTGGTTAGCAAGTTGGAGTTAGGGATCCTATTCTTCATCACTAACAAGGCAAAAATGGATTTTGCTTATATTTTAGTCGAGCACTTCTTGACGAGTCCGAAGTTAAATGAGGGCAACATTGTTATTGATGGGTTGATCACCCATATTACCAAAAAGTTGAAGATGTTTAGCTAGTGGACCACAACATTAACACCAACAAAAGGGCTCAAACATATCACTCTTAAGAAATTAGTCAAGATTGGATTATCGAACGAAAAGGGAAAAAATATCTTGTCTAGTTGATCAAGAGACAACAAAAGGAGGTAAAAAATGATTCAAGTGACAATGATGATGAAGGCAATGATGAAGCCCTACCCATAGCTGAATAGCTTCCATAAGAGGGTGCCTCAAGTACCTAATCGATAAGGGTGGAGCAATTTGAATCGTGGTTGGATGACTTCCAACTCAAAATCAATAACCGAGTTTGATATATTGAATGAACAAATTCAGAATGAGAACAACAATGTCAATAGCCAGTTTGACATATTAAATGAATGGATTCAAATTACAAATAATAATATCGTAGATGGATTTTGAATGGTCAATGCTTAGATTAACCACTCGCGTAACCTTTATGACACACTTTCCACCACCTCTACAACCTATGTTCTAAGGGCCTCTATCTAGATTTGCTCTCTTATCTCTTTATGTTTTCATGTTATTTTCATTTGATCATCTATGTTGAACATTGAGGAAAATGTCTAATTCAATTATGGAGGTGTGTTGAGCATTTACATTTCTTTTTATTATTTTTTTGTTGTTTTATGTAATTTGTGTGTTTGTTTAATCCCCTATATAAAAATAAATAAAATAAATACCATAGTTTAGTATGATATTCTTCTTGATTGATGTTTGATGAATTTAATGAGATGAATGAAAATATTTGGGATGTTATTGTGGTAGATATGCAAGCATGCTAGAAAGTTTTTATATGTCTTTATGATTGAACATAATTTAGGTAGTAACACTAATTTTAAAAGAAAAGAAAACTCTTTAGAAACTAGACCTAAGCATGATTTAAATAAACAAGATTTTCTAAATTTTCTAGAAATTTGAAAAAGAAATCTAAAAAGCATTATATTAGGAAATTTGGCCTAAGCAAAAAACATTCTACTTCAATGATTTGAGTTGCTTAGTAACTAGGAGTGTTCACCATAAATGTTTACTTTTACATTAAATGCAATTTAAATTATGAGTATGCAAAGTACTTTAGGTTGATGACTTACTAAGTAACCGATTGCCTTCATCATAATTGTCAATAATAGCGTAAAAAGGCAAGTGACCATCGAGAAAAAAGCCATTAAGGCCTTGAAATAAAAAAATTTAGGATGCTTAAAATAAAAATTTTTGATTAAAGAAAATTCAGTTTATTGCCTTGCTTGTATTAGTGGAAAAGGGGTAAATGTAATGTTTGTGTTGCATGCTTGAATGATATTTGATTATGAAGATGCATAAATTAATTTAGAGACACGTATTGAAATGATAACAATATCTTGAACATATTCGAGTTGGCTATTGAATTCTAAATTGAACATCAATGTTTGAAGAACAATCATACTAGTATGACATTTGTTTGAATGATTTATGGGCTTATCATCTAAAAACTCTCACGAGACATAACTCATCCACTAAGGGTAATCTAGAATTTTAAAGGGTTGTTGCATATGTTAAATGTAATCGTGATTTCTATAAAAGTGAGTTAGGTTTTATTTTATTTGTTTGCTCAAGGACTAGCAAAGTTTAAGTATGGAGATATTTGATGAGTGCATAATTAGTACGATTTTTATACTATATTATATTAAACTTTTTAGCGTTTATTGTATTATTTTAGGTTAATTAAGAATAAGATGATGGTTTTAGATTTTATATGAAAAATGAAGAATTGGAGCAAGAAAACCTAAAACCAAAGTAAAAAAGAAAGAAGTCACCAAAGAAACTTAGAGGAGTCACACAATCGTGTGAAATTACAAAGGTAAAAGCTACTAGCGAGTGTGACATGAAAGAACAAATTGTGTGGATTGCTCAGCAACAAAAACCACATAGGCGGTAGCACTCCACATGGCTAGAGGAAGAAATCTCACATGGTTGTGTGTGTGTCATAGCCTAGCCCAATCCAAGAGAAAAAAAGACCAAAAGGTAGTGGACATCGCACACGGTTTGTAGTGAAAAGTCATAAGCTCGTGTTTCTCAAGTAAAAAAGTCTACATGAGTAGAAAAAATCTAACACGGCTTGAAGGCAAAAGTCTACTCGAGCGATAAGGAAGTAACACGGAATGAAGAGCGAAGATACATGGTCGTGTGTCTCTAGTTAGCAAACCGTGTAATACTATTTCGTTAAGGCTCCAAACCATGTAACATTAAGCAATAAATTGTATAACTTTGTTCAATAATTTGTGTGGCCATGTGGGGTTGACGCCTAAGTGATGTAACTCTAGTTTTAGTTATAAATAGTGTTGCTAGGATATTATTTCGAGATTCTAACTCCCGGCATCCACAATAGATAGAAAAATCTCTTTTCGTAACCTATTATGAACAACTAAATACTATTCTTGGTTGAATTAAATTGAAGATTTTTGTTAAATCATTGTAAAATTATAGGTTTTATTTTTAAACTTATCTTATTTGGGTATTTTATATTTTTTTATAGGATTGGTTCATGGTTATGTTATTAGATAGATTAGAATACATGCTAATTGTTTGATCATATTAACTTATTGCTAGCTAAGTATTTAAGTCATTGTAAGTGCTTGTTTAAAATTGCTTACGATAGTAACTAGGGGTTGATGATTATTTTTTATATTTTTGTTCAATCCCTTTGAAAACATGAAACTAGGTTACATTTTTTCTAGCATTTAAAAAGATGGCTTTGCTTTACCCGTTTTTCTCTAATTAGTATTGTTATTGGATTAAATCTATCTAGTACTTAGTAGGTTATTTGGTAGCTAGAGAATTAATTGGGTATCGTATATTCAATTAATGACTAAGTAAGGAAAGACCGAGGACAACATACATGTTGTTGCCCTATGATGAATATTCATGTTTATGATATGTTAATTATTTTATCGATAATTAGCGACCAAACCAAAAGTGGATATTGAAGTTCGGTTAAGGTTTCTTTAATATTGTTGTTTCTTATTACTTTAATTGCTCATATACACTCCAAACACAAAACCTCTCTTTTACCCTACAAGAATACTTAACCAAAAGAAACAATCAATTAAGTCTCCTTTGTGATGGGTTCTACCCTTACTTGCCCTAGTTGCACTATTAAGGTTAAGTTTCGTGATGATAATAAGAATCATTAATTTATTGGTAGTATGACATGCCATTAGTTATGTTTATTTGATTGAATTATATGAATGTGATTGGTATTGGCTGAATTATGTACATGTGCTTAAGTGTTAATTGTGAATCATGATATTTAATTTGATGTATGAAATAAAAACAACATACCTTTGAAAAGAAATAATAATAGTGCAAAGAAAAATAAGAGAGCTACCAATCGAGGATAGAATAATGAGTCTATGAATAATAGGATGTCGGTTAAACTAGTGTTTTGGCTATTACGATAGCAAGAGGAAATGATGCGATAAGCTGTAGTAATGGCATGATGAACATATAAGGATATTGATGAATATATAACAACAACAAGTGGTAGTATAGCCACCATAATATGCTGATACAATTGAGCAATTTCAAAAGTTTAATCTAAAGGAATTTTAAGGCAAAAAAAAATCTTATGATACTCAAGGAATGGCTAGAATCTTTGGAGATGATCTTTGATCATATGGCCATGAAGGATATAGATAAAGTGGCTTGTGCCATTTTCATGTTAGTTGGTGAACGTGATGAATACTACAAATAAAAGGAGAACAAAATTAGAGGTTATTGATATGGTGAGAGATTTCTTAGATGTTTTTTTCAAAAGTTTGATGGGGTGCCATTGAAAAAAGAGGTTGAGTTCGAGATTGAACTCGAACCGGGAATAACTTCGATATCTAAAGCACTATATAGAATGACAATGATAGAGTTAAAATCTCAATTGCAAAACTTGTTGGACAAAAGTTATATTTGGCCTAGTTGTTCATCGAGAAGAGCACCCGAGTTATTTTTAAAGAAGAAGAATGGATCACTATAATTATGCATTGATTATCAAGACTTGAATTAGGTGATCGTTAAGAGAAAATTTCCACTTCCTCATATCGATGACTTATTTGATCGGTTAATAGGAAGCTTAGAGTTCTCTAGGATTAATTTACAATCGGATACCATCAATTGAAGATTAAAAAAGAGGATGTGAAAAAGACGATCTTTAGAACTCGATATGAGTATTATGAATTTTTGGTGATGCCATTCGGGTTAACTAATACTTCAATCATATTTTATGGATTTAATGAATTGTGTCTTCCATGATTACTTAGATAATTTCATCATTATGTTCATCGATGATATCTCGATTTACTCTAAGAGTTGAGAGGAGCACATGGAGAAATTGATAAAGACGTTATAGACTTTGTGAGAGTATAAATTATATGCTAAATTCAAGAAGTGTGTGTTTTGGCTCAAACAAGTAGCGTTCTTCGGACATGTTTTCAAAGATGGAATCATGGTAGATCCAAGTAAGGTGTAAATAGTGCAAGAATAGAAGCAACAAAGGAACGCATCCAAAGTAAAGAGTTTCCTTGGAATGGTCGAGTATTATCGAAGTTTGTAGAGGGATTTTGAAGGATAGTTGCTCCACTTACCCATTTGAAAAGGAAAAACATTAAGTTTGAATGAGATGATGACTATGAAAAGAGAGTTTTCAAGATCTAAAATTCGGACTTGCCATTACACCAATTTTAGCTCTTCTAATGGATAATGAGGATTTCATAGTTTATACTAATGCATTAAAGGTCGGACATGAAGCAATTCTAATGTACATCCTTTTTTCGAGAGGATCTAATGAATTTTCTTCGGTTTACGTCGTGCTCATACCATTTCATGAATTTCAAGGCCATTGGTCCGCATCACCTATCCAGGTGTGAAAAAAAGGTTAGAAAATAGCCAAATAACGATTGGAAGGTGGCTATGTGAAATAGTGTTGTCGGTAGAATTTTTGGAAAATTTGAAGTAAGATGCATTATACAACTTATCTAGGGTAATTTTGGCATTTCTAGCATTATCCAAGGGTATTTTGAAATTTTCTCAATGCATAACTACTCCTATAAGTGTAGTAGTAGTTTAGGGGTATTTTTGATATTTTTCTAACAACATTCTAGGGGATTGTTTTTGTCATTTTGGTGATTTTAAGTAAATTTTGATGACTCTTATCACTTTTAAAATTTGTTTTAAATTTTTATATAATTATTGATTGATTATAAGAATAATTTGAAATGTAAATAATACATTAATGTGTATCAAAATCGAAAGGTTCGAGACCTTTGAAAATATTGAGGTGAAATAAAGATGAATTCAATCATTGGTAATTCAATTAGAAGGATGAGAATGATAGTTCATTTCTCGAATTATCCTGGATGAGTGATAGTCCCGATGTCACTTTGATTGTGTGAATGTTTGAATTGAAATTGTTTGTGAATATGATTCTCAACATGATAAGTTAATATGAATAAAACAATTTTTATGAAAACATAATTTGTATCGCTTTCGACATGTTGTCATTGATGATTTTAATAATATGACTTTTGCCTTATTGTATTGACTTTCATAGATGATTATTTTGAAAATGTGATTTGTGTTGTCTTTGACTAGTTTTGGTTGATGATTTTGATGATTTTTTACTCATGTTTTTGTTGATTAGTTTTTGTCAACTATTTTGATGACTTTCAATTCATGTCTTGTTGACCTATTTTGTTGATGATTTTGATGATATTCGACTCTTGTCTTTTTTTATTTACAATATTTTTAATCCTTTCATTTGCAAAGTTATTGTTGCTCCACTCGATTTTTATAAAAATGATATTTGTGGTGATGTTATCGATTTATAGTGTTTTCAACCTTTTGATTTGCGATGTCTTTTTTTGTTTGCTCATTTTTTTTATAAAATTAATCTTTGCAATGCTATTGTCACTTTGTAATGTTTCAACCCTTTGATTTATGGTGTTTCGTTGTTTTTTTTTTTATAAAAATAATCTTTGAGACGCTATTGTCAATTCATATTGTTTTCAATCTTATGATTCACGATGTCGTTATTGGTATGTTAGATTTTACAAAAAAAATGATATTTGCAATTCGTTGTTAGTTTGTAATGTTTTCAATCCTAAGTTACAATGTCGTTATCAATTGGCTCAATTTTATAAAAAAATAATATTCGCAATGTTGTTGCTAGTTTGTAATATTTTTAATATTATTTTGAGATATCATTGTCGATTTGCTCAACTTTTATGGAATGATATTTGTAATTTTGTTGTCGACTCATAATGTTCGAATTTTATATTTTATGATGTCATTATTGATTTGATCAATTTTTTTAAAATAATATTTATAATTTTATACTTGTTCCATAATATGTTTTTCCACTTTCATAATTCCTTTATAGGTTTGTAATTTTTTATTATTTTATTATTTACGATGCCGTTTTTGGTTGGCTAATTTTCTATGACCTTACAATTTCACATTGTCGTTGTCGATTTGTCATTCTTCTTGATGAATAAATTAATGTCGACATGTTTTCAATGCAATTGGGAATAAGGTTTTCAAACCTAATTGATGATGTGATCTGTCATCTGCCATTAGGTTTCGACAAGGCTAGGGCATTGATTTTATCTTGTCGGGACAAGTCTATCGATCTAATGTGTGGCGAGTGGTATACCTTCGCTTGTTGTTTGACTAGACAATTTTCCTCTCTTTTTTTTTCTTATATTTCCTCATTTTCCCTTCTTCTCTCGTTGGATTTTTCACAACCCCTTTTCAATTATTTTGGTCAACTTGGTTTGTCCGAGTTTGTCTTAGATAATGAACATTAGCCAATCATTCTTGTTCGGATGTGCTCAATATACTTTTTTTTTTTCAAATTTGTCTTAACTAAATGGAAAACCATGAATGGAGTTAGACATCTTGTCTAATCTTGATAGTTAGTTGATACTTGTAGAAATAATAAAATATGTGACAAATGGATGTCAATATCATGAGTATGTTGCAAATGAAAGTCATCGTTGCTCGATAGCCTTACCTCATTTTGTCTATTTTTTAACACCTTTTCCATCATAATAATAAGAAATTGAGAAAGCCAATAATTAATATCTTCTCCGGAAAGATATTTGGACGGATAGATGCATGTATGTCATATAAAGTAATACTATTTTAAAAGCACATGATTATGATAGAGATAAAATGACAATATGAACGTTATTTTTATAGTGGTGTAATTTTTAAATTAAAAAAGATGTTACCTTATTTGGATGATGGATATTTGGTAGAGTACGTGTTGTATAACTAGATCTTTATTTATTTATTTATTTATTGCATAGATTTAAGAGTTTGACCAAATAAAAAAGAAGGAGGAGGGTACCATTATTATTGAATTAGAGGTCGAGAAAGCCATGTAGACTATATGGAGAGTTGAGAAGCTAGTTTTTTTTTAGACGGTGCCATTAATGATGCATGGGATTTCAACATCTAAATATTTTATACTTGATATTCAATCTCTTTGAAGAGGTTGGAAGAATAATGGTGGTGTCATCTAAAGTCTTGTAAATATAAAGTACAAGCATCGATATGAAGGGTGTTGAAAAAGTGTCCGACATAATCAATCTCATGGTTAAGTGAGTATTTTGAACATATTGTATAAATATTAGAAAGTGAGTAATGGCTTTATGAAAAATATGTGTATACATTGGTATGATTGAGGTTATTTTGTCTTAGTTGAATTTTTTATTTTGTGAAGAAAATAGCCCTTATATGTACAAGAAAATATAGGGTAAAAAAAATATTTTTCAATTGTTGGATCACATGGTTATTAAGCCATAAGAAAGAAAGTCCATAATTGTGAGAAAGCTCAACTTAATGGGCTTTTGTGGAAAGGCTAATTTCATATATCATCAATCATGATGTCACAAAACAAGCAATCATAGTAAGTAGTCATTTATTAACTTATATTCATCTTGTTTTTGCTTTGGTCAAGACTGAATTTTTTAATACCTCATCACGCTGAATTATATCTGCATGAACATAATTACAAAACAACAACTAGAATGTTGCTAATTCACGTCTCGCTAAGAAAATAAGAATTTAATCACTGAATCCTTTAAATATTATTAACGGACTCGAGAATGCTTTTGATTTCTAAACTAATTTTTTTTATGACATACACTCTACAATAAACAAAAACCCTAGAACACCATATGCATATGTTGCATTTAAATCCCAATAATGAACTAAAATTTGAGATTTTTATGTTTTTTACTTGTATAAAATTTAACCGACAAGATTACCATATTATTAAAACCACTAATTAACTTAATCCCATTTCAAAAACCTTCTCTCTTTTTTCAACACATATCGTTAGGGTATTTATGTCAATCTACAATCAAACATTTTTAAAAAGCTTGGTGCCAAATTAGTTGGATTAAAATATTATACACGTAGCAACGGTCACCTATTTTAGGGAACAATAAGCGTCACCCAATCATCTTGTAGAAAATAAAAATAAAAATAAAAATAAAATGCAAATGGTGTTACAAAAGAAGTGATAAAAATAATAGAATTAAAGAGAAAGATGATAGGAAAATAAATTTACTATAAAACAAAATAAATACAAGAGATAACAACTCCAAATAATCTCTCAATCTCTACAAAATACTTATACATAAACTAATGAACAATCAAGCCTATTTATAAGCTTCAAGATTAGGAATAGAATTGAAAAGGACTATGAACCATTAAAAAATGTATAAATAATTGAATAAATTGCATCATTCTTTTAATTTTTTATATTAAATGGTGAATTGAATTACTTGAGTAGTTGAAATATGAAATGATTATGGATATTCATTATTTCATAACAATCCTCCTTGAATGTCCATCGTATAAAAAACATACCTCATTAAAACTTTACTACGAAAAACATGAGATGGGAAAAAATCCTAGTGAAGAAAAATAGAGTATAATATTCTTTATACACATTAATCTCAATGTTGGGCTCCTCTGTTGAAAACATCATTTAAGATCTTTAAGATAATACATCTCAATCTTATGAATCATTTTCTCAAAAGTTGTGGTAGGCAATGCCTTAGCGAATATGTATGTTGGATTGTCACTTTGATGTATTTTTCCTTTAATTGAATTACCAAAGTAGCATTATCTTCATATAATACTCGTTAGAATCTTTTTTACTAGTAGATAAACTACATTTGTCTACGATATGATGGATCGTTGATCTTAGCCGAACACATTCTTGACTCGCCTCATGAATTGGTATTTACGCATGGTCCGAATATCTAGCAGTTATAGTTGCTTTATAGAACGTCATGATATAGTTATATCACTAAGTTGAAATACATAATTCGCTTGTAATTGAGTTTTATATGGATCAGATAAATAACATGTATCTATATAACTAATTAAACTTGATTTTGATTTATTTGAGTAAAATAAATATCATATCAATTTTTCTTCAAAGATAATATAGAAAGTGTTTAATTACATTCTAATATCTTCATATTAAAATAGAACCATGACTTGCTAATAAATTTATAGAAAATGCTATGTCGAGCCAAGTATTATTAGTAAAATATATAAATGCACTAATGGCACTAAGATATGGTACTTCGGGATTAAATAGTTCTTCATTATCTTCTCGAGGTGGAAAAGGGTTTTTTTTTTAATATTAAGTGAACGAACTACCATTGAGTTAGTTAATAGATGATCTTTAGATAGAAAAATTGTATAACTTTTTCTATATAAATTAACTAATAAATAAAAATATCATTCTCTCGATCCTCGAACTGCAGGTCGAGATAAAATTTTATTTCCCAAGGTATTCATATCAAATTCTTTTTCGGATAACTTATGGCACTTTGAATCTCTTTAAGAGTTTCAATAATATTTAAATCATCAACATATACAACAATTATCGCAAATTATTTTATCAAGCTTTTTTTTATAAAAATACATGAACAAATATTGTTATTTTTACAACCTTCATTCAATAAATATTTATTGAAGCAACTATACCATATGCACATAGGCTAGTAATAACGAAGTGAAAAATAAAAAATAAATATAAAAAGTATAGTATAAATTGAATTTCTAAAAACTAAATTAATAAAACAAATATTAAGATAATTTTGATAGAGATCTCTATAATTTAATTGAATTCATTTTTCAAGAATATGTATTATATGCTTCGAGCATCTTAGGTCGTTTTAAGACTTTCATATAGATATCGTTTCAAGTGAACAAATAAAATGTGATCACATTCATTAAATGTATGCATATGAAAATTTTTATATATTTTTTCCAAGTTAATGCAATAACAAAATGTAATAGCATCCATTTTAGGAGAATATGTCTCTTCATAGTCAATGTCAAGTCTTTATGAAAACTCTTGTGTTATAAGTCTTACTTTGTATCTCACAATCTCATCTTTATTATTTCATTTTCGTACAACTCGTCCACTTACATCTCATTGGTTAAACATCTTCGGATATTTTGATTATGGGTTTAAAAACTACTCATTTGTAAGAGAATAATTCTCTCTGGATTGCTCTTTTCCTTTAGGCCAATCATTTCTATGTCACCACTCTTCAATAAATTTAGGATCAAGATTCTTATTTTCATTCAAAATATCAATTGTAACACTATATGTAAAAATCTTATCAATAAATGTTTCTTTTCAATCCTATTTTCTCTCTGTATTGACATAATTTATTAAAGTCTTTTAATTTTTCTTAAGCATTTGGACTTCTTCTAGAAGCCTATTATAAAAAATATCTTGGACCGTTTTATGAATATTTGCATTCTTTATTCTAATTATTTTCCCTTTTCTTGTAGGGATTTTTGCTTTTAGAATCGATCGATTTTTCATACTTTAGTTGTGCTTTAGATTCATTTGCTATAATATTAATAGATTGTATTTCTAGGACATTAATTCTAATAGGAGCATTTTTAACGGGGATATGCATTTTAGTTACTTATTTAGGATTTGAGAATACATATGACAGCTTGGTTTGCTATAACATATAAATGAATTATCTTTTGAACTTCTAGTTTACATTATTTTATACGAGTATCAAGATGATAAATAGATAGAGTGCTCCATGTAATCTTTTTTTTTTTTTTTAACATTTACAATTGCTTATTTTGCTTATTCTCTCTCCCTTAATGTTGAAAAAGCTGTTTCATCAAAATGACGAGTTGATAAATCGAGCTATAAAAATATCTCCCGTTTATGGTTCAAGATATTTAATTAACATATATTCTCAATCTCCTTTAAGTGCCCATTTTAATTTGTTATGGAGGAGCATTGCCTACACAACCAAAAATTCTTAGTTAAGAAATATTTAGCTCATGACCACAAGCAATTAAAGAGTGAAGAATTTATGATAACTTATGAGTCCGATGCAAGTATTGCTGCATTTATGATTGCTTATCCTCAAACATAAATAGAGAGTTTTGTTTTTAAATATTGATTTAACTATTAATTGGAGCCTTTTGATAAATGATTTTGCTAACCTTTTTTAGCATGAATATGAGCAACACGTTGTTCAATCTTTATTCTAATAGGCAATCAATAATCACTTGATACTAAAGATATAAATTCACTAGCAATATCAAGGTGAATTTTTTTATTGACACAATTTAGAAATTGTGCTCATAATTGAATTATTTGAGCTAGCAACCTCGAAAACGTCGGGTTTCAAGTACATAGTAAATATACATGTGATCATTTTGTGGATGCATCTATTAAAACTATAAAATATCTAAATGATCCATATAGTGGATTAATTGGTCCACATATATCACTTTGAATACATCCTAAAAATATTGAAGATTCAATCTCAATTTTACTTAGTGATGACTTAATAATCAATTTATCTTGAGAATAAGCAAAACATGAAAATTTATTAAATTGAAGAATCTTTTGGTTCTTTAATAGATGTCTAGATGAATTTTTAATAACTTTTCGCATCATGAAAGACCTAAGATAACCGAACCGGTTATGTCACATAATAAAAATATTTAAATTAGTAAACTTTTAGTTTACTATATCATTTGTTTTAATCATTCAAATATTTATAATAAAGACTAAAAGAGAAAACGGGTAAATTTTGTAATACATGTTTTTTTTACTCGATAAAATAATTATAATATATAAGTATTCAATATTTTTCACATTTGTTGTCTTGATATGATATCAATTTAGATGAATATCTTTTGAACTCAATAAATTTTTTAGAGACTTTAAAGAGAATAGTACATCATTTATAATAAAATTTATCATTTCGGATAATAATATATTTGTCTTTTTGGAGCCTTTAAATTATGTCACTTCAAGTAATAATATACTTGCTCTTCTAGAACCTTTAAAAGTTATCTTTTCAAATAATAATATATTTGCTCTTCTAGAGTCTCAAAAATTTATCTTTTCAAGTAATAATATATTTGTTATTCTAGATCCTTCAATTAAATTGATAAAATCAAATATAATATTAACACAGAATAAATAATTAAACAAATAAAAAACAAATAAATATATTCCTTCATCAATAAATAAATAAATAGCAAAATAAATTTATTACAATCACTCGTATGATAGAAATTATAAGAAATATAAAATATTTTATTTATAAATAAAAAAACTAAGTAGTTGATTTCAATTACTATTATTTTGATATATAAAAATGACCTCCATATTTTACTTCTTTTTTTCAACAAGGCTTGATAAAGCTCAATGAGATGATTTGGTGTATGCAATCAATGTTCATTAATACCACATTTATAACATCCATTTTCAAAATACTAATTTGATCCATTTTTATTTTTTTCTTGTTTTTTTCATACTTTATCCACTTTTGGTGGTGATGTGTATTATTATGGTCATCACGATTATAACGATAATTATTCCAATTATATTCATGATCTGTGACCACATCTTCATTCATGACTAAAATTATTATAAGTTATCACATTCACTTCGAGAAAATGGAGTAGATCCATTTGGGCGAGATTTATTATTTTTTTTATCAATAGCTCATTGTTTTATTTAGCCATAAGCAAGTATGAAATCGATTCAAAATTTTTTTTAAAATTTTTTTCTCAATATTGCTACTCTGTAGGAGCATCTTTGAGACATGAAAAGTAGAGAATATTTACTTAGTATCAATCACCCATGATCAATAATTCTTATGCGAAATGTCAAAGGCCATAAAATCAAATTTTGTGAGGTTTGATATGATAAAAATTTTATAATGCAAAGTGTAATAATAATAATAATAATAATAATATGAAATAAGAACAAAATATAATAATATAATTTAAATAAAAATAAATATAATAATAAAATTTAAAATTTTCAAAAAATATATTAGATCATTAGATTATATATATTAAATTATTTAAGTTTTTCAAATGTATATTCTATGTATTATTAAATTTAAAGTATATGATAAATTAGATACATACCCTTGAATGATCTAGATAATTTAGATCTTTTGGTAGAACATCGTGTAGAGAAACAATCCAATGATTGAAATAAATAATTAAGTCTTTTGGTAGATACATACTTTATGATCTATTATCTCGGTTGATTAGAACTTCATACCGATAACGTATTATAAAAGAAATGATAACAACTGAACCTCATGGCACCAGAAGAGAACTCACCGGACAGATTTTATGGCATGGACTCCAAAACAGGTCAGTTCTGCACTAAAGCTTATTATGATACACTGAGGAAGACTACTGCAAAATATGAGTGGCGGAAGTTATTATGGAACAAGTGGTTACTAAAGAAAATAGGGATACTGGTGTGGAAGGTATATAAGAATGCATTAACAGTGGAGGTAAATCTGAAGGGCTGTGGTATTAGTTTGGCTTCCAAATGCCATTGCTGTCTGGATGCAAAAGAAGAAAATACAAGCCACCTATTTTTGCATGGAGAGACTACCAATAGACTATGGAAGGAATTCGTTGCAATTTTAGACGTTAAAACAAGAGTGCCTAACATGCACTAGCTCCTAAAAGCTTAGTTCCCCTCTGGTAACATTCTGTCACAAAGACAATTCTTTAGAGTTATTGTATGTACTTATATGTTGTAGGAGATATAGAGCAAGGAACAAGTCAATGTTTGAGGGAGATAGGATGTGTGAATTCAGTATCAAAACCAAAGTGATGCGATGGGTGCATGATCTCACCAGGTTATTCAAACCAAGAAAAAATGTTACCTTTCATGACAGCATTTGTTTTGGATCATTGGGCCTACCTACCAAAAATTTTGCACGAACTGGTGGAAGTTGGATCAGATGGTTTATGCCTCCATTCGGTAAATACAAACTCAATACAGATGGAGCTGCAGGGAATAATTTATGTGGAGGAGGGGGTGTAATTCGGGATGATAAAGGAAATTTGCTTTTGGCTTTTTCCTGCTTCTACGGTGTTGGAAGAAATTCTAAGGGCAAGGCAATGGCATTGCTGGATGGTTTGAGATTCTATTAACTATATAATTTACTATGTGATTTAGTGGAAGCTGATTCATCACTCACATTACGATGCATTACCTCAAAAATTACTTGTCTATGGAAGCTCATATACACCTTAAGAAAATGTAAACAATTGTCCCATGAAGGAATAACATGGCAGCACTGCTACATGGAAGGGAATATGGTAGCGGATAAACTAGCAAAATGGGCCTTGCAACATACATCGTCCAAAACAGTCTTCTTGATGAACACTTTACCTATTACATGCCAAATAGCAATTAAGGAGGTTCAATTAGGCTTATAACTTACTTCCTAAGTAAGTTCGGCCTTAGACTTATTGGAAAAATTGGAAAGTCTTTATAATTTATAGAATGATTATGTTGTACTATCATATTTCCGGGGTCTAAGCTCCCTTTTTTTTTTTTTCAGTTTGTTGAGGTAGGCTGATTTGTCTCCTCTTGTATTATTTCATGCAATCAATATAATTTCATAGCATACCGACTCTGTTTAAAAAAAAAATGATAACAATTATGGAATTGAACAGAAAGATGATAGGAAAATGAATTCAGTATACAATAAAATAAATACAAGAGATAAAAACTTTAAATAATCTATTAATCTTTACTAAATATTTATATATAAACTAATGAATAATCAAGTCTATTTATAAACTTTAAGATTAGGAAAAGAATTTAAAGAGACTACAAACTATTAAAAGATACATAAATAATTAAATAAATTATATTAATTTTTTTAATTTTTTTAATTAAATAATAGATTAAATCATATGAGTAACGAGAAGGGAATATAAAATAATAATGAATGTTGATTGTTTCATAACAAATGCGTCATTGTTGTGATTTTGCACACAAGAACGGCATCACGCTGTTATCATAACAAATCCGAGGAGGTAAATGGAACAAACCATCCACCCTGTAGCGCCACGCGTCAAGTTAAAATGACGGAAATGCCATCCGTCGTTCATAACTTGCCTAGTTGCATAAACAACGACACAGGTCTCTATCTTTTATAAAAACACCGTCCTCCTACGACTGCACAGTCACCCAAACTGTGGCAGTACAGCGGAGGAGCCAACGATTAAACCGAAAAAAAGAAGGGAAATTAGGGCTTAGGGTTTCAACCAAACTGAAACCAGAAAAGAAAATTGAAAAACAGCCATGGAGAGTGCCTTCGCCAGTGCCTCTGCTATTACTGACCAGAGGCAAAAGATCGAACAGTACAAGCACATTCTTTCCTCTGTTATTTCATCAAACGACATCGTTCAAGCCAAGAAATTCATCGATCACAGTAGGTTTTTGTTGGTTTTTTTCCTCGAAATTCGCCTAGGGTTTTTTTTTTTTTTTTCCTGGTTTTGCCTAATTGTTTCAGACCGACATGTAGTGTTGTCGGACGACGTACCCTTGGTAGTGTCGAGGCAGCTATTGCAGACTTTTGCCCATGAATTAGGGAGGTTGGAGCCGGAGACGCAAAAGGATATTGCCCACTATACCCTTGCTCAGATTCAGCCTCGGGTTGTTTCTTTCGAAGAACAGGTTCGTATTTACATGACTCAATTGTTTTTTTTTTTTAATTTAATTTCCTAATATGCAGCATTGCTGTTTACTGGAATTTGGAATTTTGGGGATTTTATGCCACAATTTCAGTGTTTTTTCTTTTCGAACTGCCTCGTTTCTTAATGCTTATTGCTGATAGCACGTTTTTTAACTAGTGAATGCCCGTGAAAACAAGGCTTGTTCATGTTTGTTAAGCTAGTTGTGTACATTGTTTGTGGATAAATTGGGCTTTAGTTACTTATTCAAAATCTTTTCCTCAATGCCGAAATAGTCAGACTCCGCTGTTATTATGAGAATGTGTTTTGCTCGTTTGTGTTTCACTGCTTGAAAGTGTGATGGATTGATTACATGATTTTTTTTTTTTCTGCTTACAAAAGCCATTTCCATTATTATTGGTGATAACAGGTGTTAATAATTAGAGAGAAACTTGCTGAACTATACGAGTCGGAACAACAATGGTCAAAGGCAGCTCAGATGCTCAGTGGGATTGATCTAGACTCTGGAATGAGGTCCGAGAGTAAGATTCCTTATATTTAACAATAGGAGAGTGTGTTTCTGCTGATTATTAAAATAACTTATTTGACAATCTATATATGTGTATAATTTTTCCATTAGGGTCATTGACGATACATTCAGATTATCAAAATGTGTCCAAATCGCTCGCTTATATCTCGAGGTATTTGATTTTCTTACGCATGCCTAGGATTTATGATGAACTCATTAATAAACAACATCTTGTCACTGGGTTCTGTGGATATTGTGTGCTTTTATATTCTTATTATGAGTAAAGGTGTCTGTCAAGCCAGACTGTAGGCTATTTAGATGAAAATACACACATTCACCCATAACCTTTGTTGTCTTGGCTGCTGTAGTAGAGTTATAAACAGCAAGATGAATCTCTTTTGTGTAGCACTTGCTGTTATTCTGGGTTGGGGTATACCTGCTCTTATCAGTATCTGCACTTGAGTTACAAAGTAATTAGAGCGAGAGAAGTGATTTTTTTTTTCCTTAAGATTGATCCAGAGCTGCATGATACTGGGCTTTCAGCTTCCGAAATCTGACTTTATTTTAATGCTAGGTTGAGGGAATTATCACTCTTATAGGTGTCATGAAACATTTATTTCCTGCTGTTTATATTTGCAGGATGATGATGCAGTTAATGCAGAAGCTTTCATCAATAAAGCTTCATTTTTGGTTAGCAACAGCCAACATGAAGTGTTAAACTTGCAATACAAGGTTCGTAATCCATTGTTTCCAAGGGTAATCTAATACAAGGCTAAAAAAAGTTAATTGTTTTGTTAAGTTGTTTGCTTTTTGTTTCTTGTTGTCAGGTGTGTTATGCAAGAATTTTGGATTTAAAGAGGAAGTTTTTGGAAGCAGCACTGCGCTACTATGACATATCTCAAATTGAGAAGAGACAAATAGGAGATGAGTACGTAAAACTAGGTTTTATTTATTGTGACTATTTGGTACATTTAGTTTTTATTTTAATCCTGTGTGGAATATTAGGAATGCAGCCAATTGTGTTTTTCTAGTTTTGTTGACTCGCATAGATTGTTATCCAAGCAGCAAATCTTTTCCTGTCTCTGCACTATCCTGACTGTCCTTAGAGTAGCATTGAATGGCATAAATTTGATGCCACATTGGCTTTGTTTTTCTCTGAACTACCTTGAATGAATTTTGGATATGGAAACGTAATTCAGAAGACTGTTGACCTGCAACTAATGCTGTACTTGGCATTTTATGCTGTGAATTATCCAACTCCATGTGAAAAAGTATACAGTTTAAAATATCTTTCGTATTTGAATACATCTGTTTTTTTTTTTTTTTTTTTTACTTTTAAAATATATAATTTATCATCTGCAACAGAAATTGTTGCTGTGCTCAACTTCTAATGTATAAATTTAACGTACGCAACAGAAATGGTGCACTTCCACTCTCCTGCTCCCATTTACAAATTGCTGGTGTGTTGAGGCACTGAGATACATAGTGATTTACCTTCTTTTATTGTTTTCGCCATAGAACCATTGACGAGGAAGCATTGGAGCAAGCTCTATCTGCTGCTGTAACATGTACAATCTTGGCAGCTGCTGGTCCTCAACGTTCACGTGTTCTTGCTACTTTGTACAAGGTAAACAATCTCAGCATATGCTCATGAGAAGTTGATTTGCATTTTGCTGCTGGAAGATATACTGATGTTTTGGGACATGGTCCAGGATGAACGATGCTCAAAGCTAAAAATTTATCCTATATTACAAAAGGTGCTCTCTCTTTCTCTCACGTGTGGGCCCACACAGACTCACTCATGCAACATACTGCACCATTTTATCTGTTTTCATTTTTACTTTTTATCACCCTCAATGCCTCCCAAGTTTTATTAATGGAAACCTTGTATGAATTTAACAGGTGTATTTAGAGAGAATTTTGAGAAAACCAGAAATCGATGCATTTTCTGAGGAACTCAAAGCACATCAGGTTATAAATGTCTTTTCCACACTGTTTATTGATGCCACATTCACTTGATGTTATGATTTATAATTGGTGCCCTTTTGCTTTCTCAACAGAAAGCGCTTCTGCCAGACAATTTCACTGTCCTGGATCGTGCTATGATTGAGCACAATCTTTTGAGTGCAAGCAAACTTTACACAAATATAAGGTTGGAGATGCAATGGTCTTGGATTGCCTTTTCCTTTAGGTTCCTCCATGTAACCTCTGTACTAATTTTTTTTTTCTTTTGCTTTTCCACTCTATTTTGCTGTAGCTTTGATGAGTTGGGCACCTTGCTAGGAATTCCTCCACATAAGGTCAGTTAATTGATGTCTTGGTTGCCTTTTCCTTTAGATTGCCAACGTTCTCACTTAATTGATGTTCTACCTTTATTTCTTATGGGAATCCCATCGATGTTTTAGTTACTTTAGTATTCTGGATCAAATCAGTAGTATAGGTATCGTGCTACGCAGTTAGATCTACTGATCAAGTTGTGTGCCATGTTTTCTTTAAATATTCCGCTTCCTCTTCCTTTGGTGTTATGTTTTGAGATCTGATGGGAATTCAGTTTTTGTATGCATTTTCATGGGTTTTCCATTTGCTTAGTTCCATCCGTTGACTGGTGTGTCTCAAATGATAAAAGTATGCATACTAGAAATTTTGTGCCTATTTAATGTTGTTCTTTTCCTTTTCTTTATCTGCAATGCTTTATGATACTTGCTTCTTTGGGTCTGCTTCGAATATCATGTCTCTGCTAGTGTTGGCTCTGTGTTTTCATCTTCCTCTTGTTTTTCTGTCTTTTGCAGTATATTTCATTTGTGTAAGAGCTTGAACATGTTTTTTTTTTTTTTTTTTTTTGCTTTATAGGCAGAGAAGATAGCGTCAAGAATGATTTACGAGGATAGAATGAGGGGATCAATTGATCAGGTATGAACTAAAATTCTGATCCTGGCTTTCTGAATTTCAGACTTTTGCAATTGTCAAGGGTTTCATTTGATCGCGTCATAATGAATTTGATATTAAGATTGAATATTATTTTGACCGCAATGGACTTGGGGACATTTTTATCCTAGTTTTGTACGACGCTAGAGTTGAGCTTCCATTGTGGCTTTGCCTCATTCATTTCATCTTTTTTTCCTGCTAGTGGCAATTTGTGCTGCAACAAACTAAGTTAAACCACTTGTGTACTTGGCACCTTTTTGTGTTCTACTAGAACTGTGTTGTTAAACATCACATCACATCAAATTTAAACTTAGGGGGTGTTTGATAATCCATTTAGGTAGCTTAAAAATTAAGTTAAGCTACTTAATATAAAAAGTTAATTTATATAATCTCATATTTAAAATTTAAATTCGGTCAATTTATTTATTAGATAAGATAAAGTTTTTTAACTTAAAACTTTTTTATTAACACGCACAAGTTGAAAGATTTTTGAAACTTTTTAAAAATGACTATATAACTTTCATATATTCTAATAAACCTAGTTATACAAACTGATTGAGAAACGATTTTCTACTATTTTCTTCTTCTTCTCTCTCTCTCTCTCTCTCTTTCTTTCTTTCCTTTTTTTTGGCTAAAGATTGATTTCTTTATTTCTAAAGACCCAAAATCAACAACTACTGGGAATCAAATACATACAGAAAGTAGGCAAATACAAAAGGTAATCTAAATCCCTCATAAAATGAGGTCATAAAAATAGGGACTTTGTATAGCTTCTAACGAAGTTTACACAGTGAAACCATTCACGATAAATCCTTCATCAACATAAATGACTTGTCTTGTTATATAAGAGGCTGCAAGCATACATGGATATGCTACCAAAGAAGACACTTCCTTTGGCTCTCCAAGTTGTCCCATTGGAGTGCGAGCCTCGACAGCCTTCAGAAACAATTCATTCTCAAGATCATGCTCAACAAGTGGAGTTTTGATTAACCATGGTGTAAGGTTAAAATTGTCATATATATAGCTTTAATATATTCAACGACAGTATTTATCAAATAACCTTATTATATTCAACACTTAATTTTTAGTAAATACCAAACAATTTGTCAGTAACATATTCAGTACTTAATTATTTAGGACTTAAAATTCAGTACTTAATAGATTCAGCACTTAATTTTCAGTTTTATCAAATACCACCTTAGTCTTGGGATCATGATCAGCCTTATTTGCCTTTTTTGGACCTAGGGCTCACTGTCTATTCTTTTCTTTCTGGCTATTACCTGTTCATAGCAAGTTCAGTAAACCGTGTCTTACCTTTATGTTGCTTTGTTGCATCTGATATATACCTACCTACACCAGGTGGAAGCTGTCATACATTTTGAAGATGACACCGAAGAGCTGCAACAATGGGATCAGCAGGTGATTCCTTGCCTTGATTACAAATTTCATGGAATGTAGCTAGATTGCTTTTCAATTTGCTTCATGTACTTCGTATTGTCCTCTGAAGTAGCTCTTATCCTTTGCCCGCTACATTATTTTGCAGATTGTTGGGTTGTGTCAAGCGCTGAATGATGTCCTTGATAGCATGGCAAAGAAGGGTTTGTCTATTCCTGTATGATCCCTTTTTTGATGGCCAGTTAGAAGGTGGAGATGGATGACTTCACGATATATGCACAAAAGTAGAGAAGCTAATTTTCCATAGGTTTCTCATTATTTTTGTGAAGTTAAAACATTTTGCAAGTTTTATCTGCTTGTTTATCTTGTCAAGAAGTTTCAGTAATTACATTTAGCAGCACAACTCACAGCAATTTAGTCATTTATTGTTAATTAATTTTTCCCTGTTGCTTTTTCGCTTGCCAGTGGTATGCTGGCTAGTTGGTGACTGGTCTCATTTATTGATTGCGTGCGTTAGTGTTTGACCTCTATTGCTTATATAAGATATCTTAAAATGAGTGGATGCACATTATGTATGCAGTACTTGAAATGTGTTTTAAAGTACTCGACTGAATGATTGAAAAGAGGTCGTTTGACTTGTTTTCCATGCTCTCAAGCTCCGAATGGCCACATGTCATTTTGATTGCATTTTCCAGTGCTTTTCAAGCCAACTCGCAATGTCATAGGAGTTTTGCCCTTGATGGACGTATCAACCTTTTTATCATGGAGTTTGCATGTTGCTGAATAAAACCTTGATGTTCTATATATCTGGACCTTTTTTTCCCTTCCCTCTGCTATATTCTGTTGAATCGATGGAAATGGAAGAGTAGGAAAGAATATAGGCAGAGATGCCTGGATTTGGGGAGTGGGAATTTCAGTAATGATCTGAAATACGGCCGCATAAAAAGAAAATCCCAACAAATCCAATTGGTAAATTACACACTAAATTAAAGCAATGATAGAGAATAATGCTATTTTCTTTTGATTTAAATATTTAGTTACAAAAAGAAAGAGACATTTTCCCATTTCATTTACATGACCAAAGCTATGAGCTCTGATTTATAAGGGAAATGAGTAACAATTGCTGCTCTTTTCACTTAATTTCCCTATCACATAATCATTACGAACACTGTTACCTGTAAAAATGTGTCCTGTCATGGAATATTACCATAAACTAAGTGTCTGGAGCTCTAGATGGAGAGGACTTTGCTGGATCCTTTCCTAACAGCACGTCATGGTTGATGGACGCCAATTGTGACAGATTCTGCAAAGAAGTTAGATTTTAATCGCCTCATTCAAAAACAAAACCACCCTCCATGGGTCAGTGACCAGGTTTTGAAAGAACAGCAGGACTCCATGTATGTAGTATAATGCTGGTGGTTTGTTTTTCTTATAGTTACACTGGGTTTTCCTTCCTTCTGCCTTCCTATCTGTCCTTTTCATTCAGGTCTCTGAGAAGGAGGGAGGGAGCGGTGGTTGGGGTTTAGAGGGTGTTTGTGGCAGGGGTATTGCTGCATTTGTATTAGGAGTTGATGGCTCTGGACGTGATTGGAAAGCTGTTGAGTCTGAAATTATGTTTCACAAGCCTTTTGCAACATAAAACTTCGCATCATCCAGATGTTTAAAAAAAAATAGCAGTTGAAATAAATAAAAGAAAGGAAAAAAAAACACCCTATAGCCAGCAGCACTCAGCAACATGATAATCTAGGAAGTTCAATGATTATTCTCCCCTTTGCCCCCAAAATTTTTGTATAAAACGTGAGTTTGCAAAGCATGTTGTTCGGTGCTAAATCTTTTGGATATCCACTCAAAGTTTGTGGTAAGGGCTGGCAAAGGTAGTGAATTCAAAATAGGAACAATAGTTAGAACATTTCATCTGTAGCAACTTGCAAGTTAGCTTACCTTGAAAGAGAAGTTTATCAATGATAGATCAAGTGGAGAAGAATCAAAATCTGCTAGGTCACCACATTCATCCATCTGGCAGAAGGAATAGAAGACAATGAAATGATTTCAAATCATAGCTTCTGAAACTCATAAGAATAATGGGTGAAATACTTTACGCTCTAATCCCACTGTGTTCCCACCCCAACGAAAAAAGAAAAAAAAATAGGGACACTTCTAGAGACTAAAATAGTTCCACTAATGTGAGTCTAGCGATGACAGAGAGGAATCTTCATCCAATCACTTGAGTTTATCCAACAGCACTTGTAGCTGAGAAGAATATTTGCTTTATTTTGATATTTTTTATCACAGCTATGCTGCTCCTAAAAAACTAAGCACAAAAAGACTTTGCTGTAAAAAATTTGAAAATCTAATATCACGCAATGGATAAATATCAAATTCTCAAATAATCCTAGATGTAGTATCCATAAAAATTATCGAACCAACTATTACTTTTAAACCTAAGTATAAGACATGCTTTTCTATTATTTTCAGCTCTTGCTACCACCAACCATGCCACCTTTTCCTTTGTTGGAAGGAGCTAATCCGGACCAAAAATCCATCAATTCAAATAGTACGTTGCAAAGTACACATGATTCCTGAACTTGGCAGAATCATGAACAGTTCACATGGAAGATAAATTAGTTTTCCTACCTCAACACTAGAATTTGAAGATGAGTCGTACAAGTCTCTATCAGAATGGCTACTAGCTCGATCATTTGGCATTCCGATAGACATTTGAGAAAACCGTGACACAAAATAGCTTGCGTCATCTGCACTGTCAGGGTTTGGAACAAAGGCAGCCTATGAACAAAATTAATGGTAGCAAAGTAAGCAAGAAACAACAGATTCCAGTGAAATTATTAAAAAAAAAAAAAAAATTCTTTTTTGGTATCTTTCGAAGTTTTACTGTCAGGCATGCACAGTATTTTTATGCACATATAGAAACATAAAACAAATAATAATAATAATAATAATAGAAGAAAAGAAACAGAGTGAGAGAGAGATAACGTGAGCTAGTTGATGCTAGAGCACAACTAAGTAAACAGGTTTAGTACTTAATTTACTTTGTTGAACTTGGCCTCAGAAGAAAGCCTTTCTACTACATACAAATGATGTCAATTGTTCACAGTTGGAATTTATCAGATCATCTATCTAACAAAGCCGCAGAAAAGATTATATTAAAACAATATTTTTAAAATCAGATTTTAGATAACGCATTCTTGATTAATAATATTCTCTGGTTGATCAATCTTCACATAATAACTTTCCAAATCCTTTTACAGAAGACGTTTTTTAGGGAAACTTTGATTCCTGTTCCAGCATCAAATGATTGTGACTCACAACTCCACAAAAACTTACTGCTATCAGGGATGCAAGTGACAATGTAGGTAGAACAGAGTGGCAGCATGATTTTCTGACCAGTTTGAACATAAGACCTACGAATCTAAACCTCTCATGATGAGTATGATGGCATGAATCCATACCTTTTGCAGAGCAAGGTTGTCCCAGTCAACTCCTCTGAAAAAAGGATGTGCTTTAACCTATAAGATTTTAAATGCACGGCACAATAAAAGCCAATTTGAAAATTCATTAGATCTTTTTTCAGGTTTCAATGCCATGGAAGAAATATTAGATGCTTAATCAACAAAATTCAGACAGTGAAATATAACCTCTGTCGATCCATTTGCTCCTAAGCGTTGACTTGGATCATGAATAATCAACCTATACATAAATGAATTGATGCTGAATAAGTACTTTGGCTACATAAATTCGAGTTAATTCTTTGATCGTAACTTAATAGTACACTGCATACGTAAATAGCAACTTTAGGGCATAGTTAGTAAAACGTGAAATCTAAACAAATCCTCCATCACATCGAAATGGTAGAATTTGTGTGTTATTGCCTAAAAAGCTATGAAGTAATGAAAAATAAATGTGATAATAATGTTGACAAGGGTGATGTTGAAGCTAAGGTATGGCCAACTTGCCACAAGTAAAAAATATACATTCTTACACATCATAAATTTTGGGAAAGAACATGAGAAGAATTATAATGATTCTGCAAAGAAGTCAACTTTGGGGTTACATATTGAAGTCTTAGTTGACACTATGCTATAAGAAGGGTATAAAAAACTGTCATTACCAGTATAATTCATTTCAAGCTACAGGATACATTTTTCTAAAATTGTCAAGCACTGTCCTAAACACATGCACAAGCAAGATCTGAACTTGCATATTTGCAAATTCATGTTTTTAAACATTAAGCGACTAGAGAAGATATTTGAAATAGAGAAGACCACTCGGCAATTTATGATTGATGTGTATCCAAATAATCAATGCTTTTCTTGTCCAACACTTCTATCTATTTCAGCTATCAATACTCTTCTGTTGGGATCCTATTTGGTCGGTAATAGCTCCAAGCCTTCTTTCATATATAGGAACATTTTTCATTTTCTTATAACAGAAATGAAATAGAAACTAAGGTAAGTTACATCGTATTAATGGATGAAACAAAAAAAAGTCATTTATCAACAGCTTACAGATTCAAAGCTGATTGCCAACCTGTTGATTAAGTCTTGGGCCTCATATGACATGTCATCAGGAACAGAAGGCCAAGGAATTTTCCTATTAAGAATGTTATCAAAGATTATCTGTGGCCATGACAAGACAAAAGACCAACACAATTAATTTTGAGCAAATACAATTTTTCTCGAGTAATAATAATAATAAAAATGTCTGCAAACAGGATCAAGGAAAATCAAGAGGAACATTAAATATAAAGATACCTCAGGACTTTCAGCGGTAAAAGGTGGGATTCCAGTTATACATTCAAATAAGATTATTCCAACAGACCACCAGTCTGCAGCATAACCTGCATGAATGCCAGAAGGTAACTTTAATTGCCTGGTAAACTGAGATGAACATAAATATTAGTGTCGGATTGAAGTAAACCATGCTCAGTTCCAAGAAGAATTTCAGGAGCCAGATAGTCAGGCGTCCCAACTGCTGAGTGCCGATTTCTGTCTCCTGTTTGTTTAGCATTTGGATTAGGAGGATCTGAAGATGCATTTCTATCTGTCTCAGGTCCTGATAAATCAATGGTGCTGTTTATAAGGCCAATTTTTGATAGTCCAAAATCTGTAAGCTGGTCACATAACCAATCATTAGTACATCACCACTAGAAAGAAATGAAGCTTATGCAGAACAACACTCAAACCTACAAGATATGGGGATATATGTGGACATTTTATGCAATGCAAGTTAGATGGAAGCCACATGTCCAGGAAGAAAACAAAAACGATGCTGCCAAATGTTTTAGCTACTATATTTGCTCAATACTTCAGTTCCTAAAAAGCAAAATAATAATGTGCAAAAGAAATTTTGAACATTCACCAGGTCAATTTTGCAACCACGAGAATATAACTATAAACTCTTTTCCCTCAGATGAGTAGGTGGAGGACAACAATTATTTATGCAAGTGGACATCATCATGAACACACACGTCCATGTGCTCACAAGCCCACCTGCTCACCCAGATGCACACACTCCTTCAAGGAGACTCACACGCATATACTCCTTACTAATGATTTTATCAACTTGTATATGTAGAAACAGTAAAATTGCGAACTTCAAAGACCAGACCTTGATGTGCCCATCATGTGCAATCAATATATTGTCTGGTTTCAGATCACGATGCACAATTCCCAGAGAATGGAGATACTCTAAAGCAAGAACCTGGAACAGATAAGCCATTTATGTTAAGGTACAGAAAAACTAAAATAAGCATATACAGGCATGCATGATTTTGTTCTAACAAACCAGTTCTGCAAGATATATACGAGCTATATCTTCTTCAAGGCAACCAATTTTTCTCAGCAAAGAGTATAGATCACCTCCATTGAGATACTCCATAACGAGATACAGGTTGTCTCGACAAGTGAATGAATAAAAAAATCGAACCTGCAATGATAAGACCATGTTTTTATAGCGCACTCAATTCGGAGCTTCAGAAGTTCTAGTAAAAAAAAATATCAACCATCATTATCAATTGGCTAGGTAATGATAGAAGGCAGGTTAAGGATTGGAAATGATCAACAAAGGGGATGTGGAAGCTCTCAAGTTCAACGTAGATATGAAAGCTATCAAGACTTGAACATTACCACAAATGGGTTTCGAACTGCTATCAATATGTTACGTTCTGCTAATATGCGCTGAACATCATTCTTGCGTAACATATCCAATTTCTTGAGCACCTACAAAAGGCAATATATTATGAATATATACCAAAATAGTCAAAGAATAATGGAAAACAGAAATTCAAAATTAGTAGAGAGATTACTTGCTGGTACATTCCATGACAATAAAGGACAAATAGAGAAACATTTTAGTACTTTGACAAAGACCTATGAAGAACGCAGATTTATAGATTATATCGAGCTAAATTCTGTTTTCCCCACATTTTTTTTCTGCTTTCATCAGAATTTTTTCAGTTATTTTTGTTCTTCTATTGGATAAGGAAAGCAGGGACCAGAAGCATTTTTAAGTGCAATGGTTTCTCAAGGCCCTTGAACAAGAAATTTCGTGCTCGAACAGCTAAACCTTGATGACCACCTAGCACAGCCAATTATGGATAATCTCCCCAACTTGATCAGTTATCTTTTAGCCTTTTTCTAGCATTTTGTAGTGCCTTCAAGTAGAAGAAAAACTTTGATTTTGCTGCAATGGTGATCATATATATAGCAGATAACCTAGCATCCTACATGACTTTCTTAAACTAGGTATCCAACATGTAGTTTACTTATTTGTAGGCTTCTAGTTTCTTGAACACTGAGCACACGACGTTAGTAACATGAAGCTTGCTGGATTAGTTTCATATAAAGAACCACTTACATATGCCCCACTTGCAAACCAACTGGGGTTGGCTAATTGATTATTTACCTTTACTGCAAATAGATCTCCTGTTGTTCGTTTGCGTGCAAGAAAGACTTTTCCGAAGGCACCTCTGCTAATTGGTTTGATGATTTCAAAATCATCAATGCTTGTCCGCTCTTTATTTGATGAATGCACAGGCGTTGATGCTGCACTGCTTTGAGATGCATTTTCGAACAGAAGTCTAGAATTTTCCTTAGATCTGCCATCAGTAATTGGGCTCTTTGTATCCATCAAATCACATGCAAGTATATACTTTTCCCTGCATATTTCATTAGGAAATTTGACTTGAGAGTTGTAGTAATATAAGAAAATATCTTTAAAAAATACTCCACAGTTACCGCAGAAGTTTCTCTATCCGGCCTCCAAAAGTGTCAATTACAAGAGCTTTGAGTTTGCTATGCTGTAAAACATCCTGCAAATCTTGCATACAAGCAAGCAAAAACTCAGATGAGCCTTCCCTTAAAAGGTCTGTGCCTGCTACACAACGTGCTATGTCTGCTAGGTCAATCATCTGCCAATAAAAAAAAAAAATGAAGATGACAAAGTGCTGATTTTGCAGATTTAGTCTTCATTTTACCTTGCAAGAATAATTTCAAGGAACAAGCAGTGAATGCTTGAAAAATACTAATAAATATACTAGAAGAAACACTGTTAACATGTTTCACAGCCAAAAAAAAAAAAAAAAAAATCTTAAATACAAAATAAATGGTAAGGACGCCATCATAAAACATTAAATGAACAGCACAAGTTCAGACTTTCAAAAATTGCAATCATGGAGTTGGCTACCGTGGACAGTCTAATTTAGGAGAAACAGAAAAATTTCTACCCAAGGAAAGTAACACAACCATCCATAAAATCATTAGAAGCCTCAAATGCTCTAACTAGGTCAAACTTCAAACAAGTGACGAGAGCAGGTGGCCTTAAGAATTTGTCTCCCTTTTTCTCTGGAGTTAATTTTCCAATTGTAACCATCACAAATTCACAGCCTGATAAGCAGTTGACTCAATGGCTACAAGTGAGTGAAACAAGATAACCTCCAAAATGCAAAGTAAAATCGATTCTTGGCAAATGATATTGGCATATTGTTGATGAAGTAGGTTGTGTGGTCTGAGAATCTAACTTTGTTCTCCATGTAAGGTTCATTTCTGTGATAGATCATAGAAGAGGATTTCATTTAAAAAACTTCTAGAAGAACCAACTAACCTGTTGGACATCTTCTAGCTCGAATGGATTGTTATGCTCTAACCAGAAGGAATCAAAATGACCAGCCCTGGGGGTATTCGTAGAGGAAATTGATGTCATGCTCCCAGCTGATGAGGGTGCACCATAGTTGCATAGCTTTATACCCAAGTGGCCTTTAAAGTTAACAGAGGGTGAGGGAGAATCATCTATAAAGGCAGTGTCCATCTCATGTATGTCCTCAAACATTCCTTCAACACCTTTGTTTCTCCATTCACTTATCTTGGGAGATTGACCTTCAGTAATGGCATAATTTGTGCTTTGTACTCTCAAATTTTCAGGACTTCCATATAATGGATGAAAATTCATACTGCGCGACTCTATAATCTGTTCCAGTATTTCTTCAAGATTTGAAAGGCGTTCATCTATATCAAGGCAATTTAACTCACACTTATCTGCATATGCACATATATAAGAATGGGATTCTAGATGAGAAATTGGAACAATTTCTTCACATATCCTACAGATTACTGAATCAGATCCGTCTAGAACGCGCTCCTGCTCATCAAGAGGATCACCTAAACTTTGTCCCTGCTCATGAAGTGAGCCATAGTTCCGATTGTAACCCAAATCTCCAGTAGAACAGTTATTGGCTTCACAAAAATGTTGTGCTTGTGAAACTGAATTGCTTTTGGATTTTTGAGATGGCAACTTTTGTTCAGAAAACAGAGAATCCTTGTTGGAACTTAAGTCACCCTGATCAGTTGGCTGTACAGAGCGACAATACATTTCCTCAGGGAGAGAAGACACAGTATTTTGTCCTGGTAACTTTTGTTTGACATCAACTTTCTGATTTAATGCATAACCGGGAACAGAATCAGCAATCCCACGCTTGGCAGCCCAGCTCATTTCAACAGAAGGAACACTTTCTAGACATTTTTTCAATTTACGAAGAGATTTCTCTTCGATTGGTTCACTCCCTTTCTGAAATTGTAATAGTCTTGTGCAGCGCGTCAATATGAAAAGCATGCGAGTAAACAGCCACTTGAGGATTCCTGTTTGACACCGTTGCCTTTTCTCTGTCAGATCTTGAACAATGTCTTCACATTTTGTGCGAAACTGAGAACACGTCATCTCAATACAGAGTCGAGATAGGGTCAGAAGATCCACAGACAACTTCTGCTCTTCTTGCAAGGAGAAGTCAATTTTCTCAAGGACATCCATCGCATCCCCTACTAAACCAACCAGCTCTGTGTTAGCTACTTCTTTAGCAGCATCAAATCTTGAATGCAATGAACCCAACAGCTCCTGATATCAACTCGAGAGAGAGAGTAATAAAATCATTGTTAATGCCAAGAGTCAAATGGTGTAAATTAAGATTTTCATCAAAGAAGCATATGTATATACGAACAGAAGTCTCCTTTTTTTACAAATGTCAAGAATCTTTCAAATGGGTTTTATTTCGTTACCAGCAGTCACTTTTGCTAGGACATAACTTGCATCTCCCAGAGAGATAATTTAGAATATATGGGTCATAAAAGATCAACAATGGCCCATTGAGAAGGAGGAAGTTAATACTGTTGAAGCACCAGACTGTTGAAATATGACTAAGAAATTGATGCTAACATTAAAAAAATATAATATCCTCTAACCATTTATTTTAAGAATACCTTCAAATCACTGTAGCTATGAGCCCGCGGTTGGGCATGAGGAATGCCACCCTTTGGTCCTAATTCATGTGAAAAACTTTTTAAGCCTTTTGACACTTTACTCCGGTTTGGATTCTCTGAAGAAGAAATTTTCCCATTTAAATAATTACAGGCACTGGAAAATTCAGTTCCTGTACATTCCTTTCTGTCAAGTTTCTTGCCTTCCAAATTCCCCTCCTGCCAACGAAGATGCATGATTAATTAATGCTTCCGCCGAAGTACAGAATGCAATCAAGCATAAAAGTCTATAAACAAATCTCAGAAGCATGCCAAGCCCAAGCTCACCTCAACATTTGGAGGAACATCATTAATAACTCGACTGGCGTCCTTGGAGAAATAAGATGCAATCCATTGAGCTATGTTCTTTCCTTTATGGAAATCTTCTAAGAACATGAAATTACAAAGACTTGTTCAGTTTTAAGAAATAAACAGGACTAAGATATAAAAAAAAATAAGAAAAACAAAGAGAAGGTATTCTAGATGAATTTTTTTACTGAAAACAGGTATCTTATTTTAAGTGAATGATCACAGAAGGAAAGTGAATCCATAGAAAGCCTTCATAAAAATTTCCCCTGACAAAAATATTAGCTTTTCGCCAACAAGGGCAGGATTCCAATCTATTAGAACAGATGTCACCATATGGCATAAGCTTAAAAGGAAACCATATCTCGTTCATTTCTAATAAGAACGGAAGGAGATATGGTTTACCAACCACCACACTAGGAGGGCCATCAACAAGAGGAAGAACCAAATATTTACTCCTGCAAATGCCAAGGACAAAAACTAAAAACCTAGTCTTGGCAAACAACAACATCACTACATTGTTTTAACTAGCCATTATGCAGGCATATACATCTTTATAGATTTTGCTCGGTATCCAACTAACAAAATCCAATTAGACATTAACTCAATTCCTTCAACCGGACAGAAGTGCATGACACTCAGCTTTGGCAGTGTCTCACTCACCAAATGGTTCCTTTATCTCAGAATAAAAAAACAACTCATACAACTAGTCCTGATCCATAGAAATAATCCTGAATACCTTCTTTAAGCTCCATCAAGAACAGAACCACGAGCCATGCTGTCAACTCATAATTTTGACCCAACTTCTCATGAGGCTTAAGCATTTGATAATTTCACACAAGCACATCCAAGAACTCCATAAAAGAACGCATAACCCAAAATTTTGCACCAATCCCCTTGCGCTTTCCTCCATCATCACATTATCACAGTAACATTCTCCTCCGATACCCTCAAAAAATTTAATCAGTTTAACACTCTCTATAATTTCTTAAAATGAGTTGCCATCATTAATACCCATCCAACTAATTAACCCTGAAAAATTGCTTTGCAGCTTGAAAAATATTAATCAACTAGGAATTGATCAAGTAAATGTACACACAGCCGCCAATCAGATTCCTATTTTTATTATATAATTGCTTAATATACAAATAGGAATTAGTAAGTTACAGCTATCAAGCTGACTGTCATTTCCGAAAAAAAAAAGCAGCTGACTCGTTTTTATCCTTATGTACTATTACTATTTTTAACTAAAGTTCAGCTGCTAAATATACATAATTAACATAAAAAAGAACGGAATAGAACCAAATCAATCGGAATTTAGAAAAATAAAAGATAAAATCGAACCTCGTTTGGAAGAAGCGCCTTTTCCACGGCCCTGAGCCATCAGCTTCTGCTTTTCCTTCACAGGAGGCCTTGAAGAAGCTACGACGTGACTCTTAGACTCAGTCAACTCGTCAAGTTCGGAACTCAATCGATCCTTTGAAGATACTCGCCGAGTCTTAATCCGATTCAACCCCGTTGGAATTCCAATATCAGCCTCTGTTGTTAATTCTTCGCTGCTTCGACTCGGTTCAGTCATTCTATAAAATTTCTTCGTCAAAATGAGAAAAAACACTAACCAGTTCACACTGGTTTTGCTATGTTTGTAACGGCAACTATATTCCGGGAAAAAGAACAAGCAACAAAGCGAATGGAGTACAAGCCAAAGTTAGTTAGGATTGAATTAGCTAGAGGAACTCACGCGCAAGAGACAGGAAGAGTTGTTCCTGGTGGTCGGTTTGGTTTTGTTCAATTCAAACTTTGAGGGAGAGCGTGAAAAAATAATATATTATTTTGCTGATCAAAATTAAGGGAAAAAAAAAGATTAATGTTTCAGGACTGCGGAGTTCGGTTTTCTGATAGTAACAATTTTATTTTATGATTAGAAAAAAATGATGATAAAACAAGAAAATTGAATATTAAATGCATAAATTAAAAATTGACATATATTTTTTTTACAAATATTAAATTTACATTCTTTGTTTTGTTAAATAAATCAGTTCTATTTGAAAAGAAATAAAATGAAAAAACAAAAGTAAGAATTTAGCTTCTCACCATGTCATTGCTGATTTCCCAAGTGATTGCTCTGCCATTGTTATCCACCATTTTTTATTATTCTTTTAAGCTATATATTATGTGATATGTGATCTGTAAATGCTTTGAGTTTCTCTCTTCTAACTACTGGAAATTAAGGAAATTCCATAGAAGAGAGAAACTTGAGAAAAAAATTCTGGATTTTGGAACTGTTATATCAATAAATGAAATATATGTTTAAATATGAGGAGTAATAAATTAGATCACATTCAAACCCATAGTCCGCTTTACCCGTCCATTTTAGGATGAAATGCCAAAAAAACGGTATTATTAAAAAAAAATTGTATCAATTTTATCTTTAAATTTTCAGAATTTTTCATTTAAAGATTTTCTTTCATTTGTTAAAATTTTTTTATTTATATTTCCATCTAAATTTTACTTCAAAAAACAATTTTATGAGAAGCTTAACATTTTCTATTAAATAATTCTAACATAAGTTTTTAATTGGAAAATTTAAATAATTTGAAAGTAAATTTGATAAAAAAAATATATTTAAAAAATAAAGTTGATATTACCCTAATTGTTTTGAGTATAATTATGATTTATCCTTTTCTTTTTATGGAAATAGAATTTAGTTTGTTAGGTTTGACATCTAAATATTTAATTTTAGGATTAATAGTTGCATAAGTACCTTTTAGGGGTGTTCACTATTCGGTGAAAACCGAATAACCGAACCAAACCGCATCAAAATATAGTCGGTTTTCGATTTTTTTTTTAATTCGGTTAAAACCGAACAATTGAAATTATTAAATTTTTTTAAAAAAAATTCATCGATGAACGACGTCATTCATTTCAATCCTCACACCCTCACCTCACCCTCACGCAAACCTAAGCTAATTAGAGTTAAATCAATTAGCCCATAATCAATTCTTGTTGCATTGATTACATGAGCCAACTGGCCCAACACCAAATATCCATAACCAATTCTTGTTTATAATTGTCCAAAGAAGTACATAATTTCTTTCTTGATCCAATTTATAGTTTAAAAAAAAAGATGTGAGATAGTGTTTTTTTTTTTTTTCTATATGAAAGAAAACTAATTAATTTATGGACCTTGATAATAATTAGTATGTCTTTTTTTAGTAAACACATATAATTTAAAATTGCGCTAAAGAAAGTTGAGTATTTAAAGTTTTAATGTTCTTCATTGTTCAAAAACAATATTGTCATTTAATTAGCAAATGTTAGTTTATGGTCGTAGTGTTTAACAAGTTATCCAAAATTGTTAGTTCTAATTACGTCAAGTTAATTAAAAGTGTTTTTCATAAAGACAAATAAGTCGGTTATATTTGAGCTTTAAAGCATGCTCGTTTCTTTTTAGAAGGAATTGTTAAAATGTCTTAATTGTAACACATATTTGGCGATATTATCTACTTATACTCGATAGACAATAACATATATTATTTATTATTAGACTTTATATGGTAATGATGACATCTCATATTATATATACATATATATATATATATATATATATTGATATTATATTAGTAATGCCTATTGAGGAGTATTAAAATAATAGTAAATAGACAGAGTTCAATGAGATTGAAAATCGTATACATATAGGAACATAGCCTAAAATCGCAATGCAAATACTAAATTTATTTTTTCGAAAATGCATGATCCTTTCAAAAATCAAAAGTATAGATAATTACAAGTGAAAACCGAATTACCAAATAAAAAAATTGATATATTTCAAAATCGAACCGAAAATCGAATAATAATTCGGTTCGGTTTCGGTTATTTTTTTAGACAATTCGATTAATCGAAAACCGGTCAAAAAAGTTCGAAACCGAACGTAATTACCGAACGAACACCCCTAGTCCTTTTATTTTCTCTTTTGTCGTTATCAAGTCTCTTTATTCATTTTTTTTTTTTAAGTTAATTTGTTTATGTTTGGCTTATGTCTTAATTTTGTTTTTGTTTTTGTTTTTGTTAATTTTTAGATAAACGATTTTTTTTTTTTTTGTCTTAATCTCATGCTTGTACTCTATTTTTCTGTCTTAATTTTGTTTTTCACCGAATTTAAATACATAAATTTTTAAAAATAACAAAAAACTAGGAAAAAAAAGTGAAGATATATTTTGTTATCCTCTCTAAAAATGAAAAAATGAAGATAAAAATATGTTTTTATCCAAAATATCATTTATAAGCTTAAATTTATCTTTGTGATAGGAAGAAAATTTTGAGCATAAAATGAAATATTTATAACATTATTTTTTAACTATGAAGCGAGTTTTACTTAAATTTTTTAAAATTAAGAAATTTATAGAATTAAAATAAGTAAATTATAGTAGACTCTTTTGAGGTATTATAACATTATAAATATCATTCAAAACTTTAAATTAACTAAAATTTACATTTAAAAAAGCAATAAATATTTCATTTTATATTTCAAATTTGTTTACTATCATAGAGACAAATATAAGACCATAAAGGATATTTTGAATGAAAAATATTTTTTCTTCACTTTTTTTTATATATATATATTTTAATTTTAAGAGAAAATGATTGGATATATCTTCATCTTTCTTTTATTTTTTTCAAATTTATTTATCTAAAATTCAGTATAGAAAAATTGAGACAAAAAAAAAAAAAAGAAAAGAAAAAGAATAGAGATACGAGATTAAGATAGAAAAAGCAAGTTAACACTATTAGTCCAGAAGTCAACAAAATGACGAAATTAATATATAAATCAAAACTAAAAGGAAGAACTTAAGAAAAAAAAAAAACTAGGAAGACACGGTAAAAATAAAAGAAAGAATAGAGTGACCATTGTAACCATTAATCCTTTAAGTATTGTTTGTTAATCGGGAATATCATAACCTAGTTTTAAACCTCCAAAATTAATTATGTTTAATTCTTCTATTTTATTTTATTTTTATAGTAGTCAATGATCCATAAGTTTTAATTTGGTTTTATTTTAACTAGGTTTTAATAGTGTTTTGACAAAAGCAAAAAAAAAAAAATGAAAAAGGAAAATACAATTGTTCTTTTAATCATCTTTAATTTTAGCTTCATTTAAAATTTAGATTCTTTTGTCACAAACAAAAAAAAAATCAAAATCAATTAGGTTACATAATCTGTAGAGGTGCAAATGAATGAAAAAAAATACAATTAAAAATAAATAGAGATATAATTGAAACAATCAAAAGTTTTGAAATTGAAAGACATAAGGATCTAATTGAAAAAAATTGAAGAAACCAGAGACTAAAATAATATGCCTAAAGGATATAAATATGAAAAAAATTGAGACGCATAGGGACCAAAATGGAAGAAATGAGCGACAAGATCAATTCAGAAGCAGTTCGAACGACCTATCATTCACTCCCTTACAACAGTACCTCTGCACGCCACTATTCCTCTCCTTCCTTGGCTTCACTTGCACACACAAAACACACAAGACAATAGAGATGGATGAGGAGCTAACATCAGGTTTTAGACACTTGTCCCAGGCTAGCTGCTCAATGTACCACATCCCCATTCAGAGATTGTAGTGTACCCTCCCGAATTCATGCTTCACCTGTCCTCTAAACGCAAAAAATGTGAGGAACAAAACAACAATAGAGGAGTCTGTTTGGTTTTGGCTTTAGTTAAATAAATCAATTCATTAAAACATGCGAATACATGTACCAAAATATGCATGAAAACTTATTTTTGTAAAACAAAAAATAAATATTTTTTCTATGAAATTTCGGCTTAATATATGATATATTGCCACTTTAATTTTCTTTAAATGCAACTATAAAATTTGGATTGTTTATATTAAGTATGAAATAATTAACTTAAGCTTTATTAATTAGTAAGCCATTTTAAACACAAACACCATTAAATATATAATCATTTCATCTACTTATGATTATTTCATTTACTTACAAGTTCCAAAAAACTCCAAAATCATTTTAAAAAACTTTAACTTAAGCTCATTGGAAACTAGTTTATGTTCAATTGAAAATTTTTGATTAAATCTTTAATTTAAGCTCATTGGAATCTAAATTTTAGGTTAAGTTCCTTGAAAGCTAATTTAGTGTTTTTGAAATCATTTAATCATTAGCCAATTAAAAACCATTTTAATTTCTTAACTGAATCATTTAATTTTAACCTTTATGTTAATTAAATCATTTTATTGACTCAAACCCTAAAACCAATTTATTAAGTCATTTACTAATTTAAACAATAAAACCAAATTTAGCTACTACCAAACACATATATTTACTTATTATTTAGAGTTGTCCCATAAGTACCATTAATTTACATACCATAAGAATTAATCCTAGAACACATAATAGTGTTAAAAAAAAAAAATGAAAGAAAAGAGAGGTTTAGGTCTTCTAACTCACACCTACATTTCAAGTAGACACGTTGGCAAATCAAGCTTCCCTCGACAATGACAAGCAATGCTCAATTAGTGTAAGTCCATGCATGAGATGCATGTGATGCAAATAA